TGCAATGAATCTGAAATATATGAAAGTTTAATTTTTATCATTACATTATGGAAAATAATGCCCTTTATCACAATATGCTAATTTTTTGAGAAGGACCTGTATGTCCCACTTGTTGTTGATTCTTCAGAAAAAATTAAAATTTTATATCTTTATGTTTTTGTTCTAGAATTGCGCCGCTCAGGGTGGCAGCATGTTGGAGCAGCTCTGTAACTTTCATTCTGTGTTATTGCTTTTGAAAACTTTTCTGGATGTAAATCACTTTTTTCAGATAATTACTTCCTCTGGTATTGGATGCTGTGCAGCTGGAAGGATTTTTATAGAAACTTTTCTACTTTTGGGCATTTGTTATGATGCGTAACCATGGTGACAAGGTGTTTTTTTAACAACCAGGAGCATCTAATTAACATATCAAAAGCTCAAATACATCAGCTACAGTCCCAAAGGAGTAGAAAAGGAGGCACCGTGGTTGAATTTACATCAACCTGGCAGCTGTGCTCGTGCACCTGACCACCAAGATCATGGAGCTGGTGGGAAACTCAGCTTTTGACAATGGGAGGACCAGGATCATGCCCCCAACACCGTAAGCTGGCTGTCCGTGGTGACGAGAAGCTCGGCAGACTGCTGGGAGGAGTGACCATCGCTCAGGGAGGAATTCTACCCAGCAGTCGGGCAGTTCTGCTACCCAGGAGGACCGAGAGGCCCACCAGATCTGACATCAAGCTGGATCCAGGTGGACGGATCAGTATCTGTGGCCAGATTCTTTGAATTCACTGCAGGAGATCCTTCCTGCCCACAACTCAGCATCTATAACAACTCTTGAACAAAACCAAGATGATGAGCTACGATAACACTTAATTTCCCTCTGAGATTAATAAAGTATTGTTGAATTGAATTGAAGCCTGAAATGTGGCAAAAGGTTGAAAAGTTCAAGGGGCCGAATACTTTCGCAAGGCACAGTAATTTTTGATTTGAGAGTTTATCAGTTTTTGTAGAACCTTGGCTAAAATGCAGAGTTTAGAGATTGGTTGATAGTTGTTCAGTGAGATGGGGTCACCTCCCTTCAGCAAAGGAAGAACAAAGGCTGTTTTCCAAGCATCTGGAATGGAGTTTTGGCTTATGGAAAGATTAATGATATGGGTCACAGGGACTGTGATGATATGTGCAGCCAGCTTTAAGAAATAAGGTAGAAGTTCATCTGGACCTGCAGATTTTTTAGTATCAAGACCTTTTAACAGTTTATTTACCTCACTAACTGAGAACAGAGAAAAAGGGAATGTGTGATTAACTGAGGATTGACTTGTAGGAGGGATTTGATTTGTAGAAGTTTGGTTATTAAGTGAAGTGGCTGATTTTCCATTAGTAACTGTGTCAAATAAAGAACCAGAAGCAACAAAATGTTTGTTGAAACTGTTCCTGTGTCAAATAAGCACAAGATCCTGAACTGAGTTAACGAGAAGTTGTGATGGGAGGTCAGATGATTGAGGGCTGCCTGAGAGAGATTTGACGGTTTTCCAGAATCTGTTAGGATCATTTAGATTTTTGGAGGTCTGAGATAAGAAATAGTTGCGTTTTGCTGCTTTTATAGCTGTTGTGCATTTATTCCTCATCTGCCGAAAGCTCAACCAATCAGTGTCTGAGCCAGATTTCCTCGCTGCGGCCCAAAGATGATCTCTCCTGTGCAGGAGGTCAGCTAGCTCTGGAGTAAACCAGGGGCTGTCTCGTCCCTTTATTCTGAACTGACGAAAAGGAGCATGTTTGTTCACAAAATAAATGAAACTATTATGAAAATAGTTCCAATCGGTGGTCACGTTGTCAGTTAATAGAATACAATGCCAGTCAAAGTGGGATAGATTCCAGAGGAATGACTGTTCACAAAAATGTTTCAGATCCCTTTTTTGAATTAATCTGGGCTTAGAAGGTGGAAGTTTAATATCTCTGAGAGCCGCTATTACACAATGATAACTCAAAATTCAGCGAATACACCTGGACCAGGGAATTTGTGAGGCATATTAGTTAGAAACAGGTCTTAAATTAAAGATTTTTCAGGACAGTTTTTATTTGGTCTAGTGGGAGAGTCGATCAATTGGCTTAGATTGAGAGACAGGCAACATTCCTTGAATTTATCACAGATGGGGGTTGACTTATGCCAGTCAATGTTGAAAACTGCCAAAAAAAAAATCTCTTTGAATTTTAAATTTCCAAGGAATTCCATCAGGGAGGACAGAGCCTCAGATGTTGCTGAGGAGGGACGATAACGTCCCACTACAGATAAGATCTGGCCTCCATTCAAAGTGATGTTTACAGCTAAGGCATCAAACTGGTTTGGAATTGTTTTAGCAGACACAAGACTAGAAACCAGAGAATCTCTGATGTAAATAGCGACTCCACCCCCACTTTTTTGACGATCACAGCGATAGATGTTAAATCCATTGATAGTCTAGGCTTAAGACTGTCCTTTTTGCTAAATCCTATAGTTAGGGTCGGCTTGGGTTTCCTGAGCTGTCCCTTAGTTATGCTGCTATAGGCTTAGACTGCTGGAGGACAAACTGACCACAATTTTCACTCTACTACTGTCTTTACTTACTCTGCTCAACCTGTTTTGTATTTGTAATTATTTTTTCCATCCTTAACTGGGGGGGGGGGGGGGGGG